GCACTCCTCTGCAAGGCCCATGTACGCCAACTGACCTGGCTCCCCAGACTTCAAATCCTCTTGGAAATGCAATGGTCAAACCCTGTCAAGGGTGTGAGCCCAAGATCCAGCACTGGTTGGTGCACTGTGCACAGCCTGCTGGAGATAGGCAGTGTGCGCAGAGAATTTGTCAACATTGGGTCTCAAGCTGCAATACATCATAGGTGAGTCTGAACCCTGGTTGTAATGTTGTGCACTTGAACAGGGAGGGTGTTCCTGCCAATTCAGGGGGTATGCACACCACGCATTGTGTTGTTTCCCAATGCATAAACCACAAAAATTCAAACACGCAAAATTCCCCAGGTTCTAAACTCTGGAAAAAGGGACTCACTAGGAGGGTACTCTGGGTCTCTGCCTCTCCAAGGCAAACCCACTGGCCACCAGTTTTGTTGGGCTGGTATCCAACAAAGGTTAGAAATAAAACACCCAACACAGCCTTCAGGAGGCCAGATCCTCCTTAGTGGAGTCCCTGAGAAATCCTCTTTCACTTTCAACTCAAAACCCTAGCCACAGGGAAGCAGGTACACATTCAGTTCTTTCAAGCTTAAAGATACACAAGGACATACAACATGTCACACACAAGACATTTCCCTGGCAGGTCTTCTCTCCTTGAGGCAAAGCTGGCAAGTGTTTTCTAGTATTGCCAAAAATCTTGCAGGAAACAAAGAATAATGGCACCTGCGCCAATCCAGTCCAATTATCTTGTTTGCATTCCAGGTTCACCACAATGCGGCAAACTGGGTGCGCAGTGGGGTTTCTGCTGCATGTGCTTTTCTTGCCCTGTGTTGTTGGTACACCCCAGCAAGGATGCTTTGCTTGGGTCATCCCAGTGAGCAAGAAGATCTCCAAAAAATGTCCAGAACTCATCCAAATGAGTTCCACAGACATTTTTTGGAATATTTGTCCAAAAAAACTGTGCTCTGGCAGACACATTTTGGAGAACTTGTCCGCCAGAGCAAATGTTTTTCCCTGGTGAACAAGTTTGGAGAACTTGTCTGCCAGAGTACATTTCTCTGGTGGACATGTTCTCCAAACTTGTCCACAAACTTAGGAGAACTGGTGGACAAGTTTGGAGAACTTATCCGCCAGTTTCTGGCACCAGTGTCTGGCAGACAAGTCCTCCAAACTGATTGTCTGCATGTTATCCAAAATTTGCGGACAAGTTTGGGGAACATGTGGATTTAGCTTGTGACTTGTCTCCGCAAGCTAAATCCACATTAACCAAGCATTAAACCAATATGTGGGTTATAGCTAGGTGTCTAAGGGGCCAGGCAGTCATGCAGGAGTTCTTGAGTTCAATCCCCATGAGAGGTAGGATATTCCTTAAGAGTTTAAATAGGATAACATAATACACTAGCTAGGCTTGAAATTTAGGTTATAAAGGTTGAATTAAGAAGCTGGGAATAATAAATTCTCAATTGAGAGGTTCAAGACAAAAGGATAATTAGTGGAATTTATCAATAAATACAATCAAAAAATGCTGCATGTGTGGGAGTATGATTTGGAGAGAAAAAGAAATTGACACTACAGATATTGGGCTGGAAAACTTTTATTCTAATATTATGTTGATAAGGAAAAATACAAAATTTGGAGGGAACTGGAAGAACTTCTGAATAAAAATTGGACAATATGTCCAATTTTTATCCAAAAGTTGTCCCAGTTTTGATCCAAAAGTCATCCAATAACAGTTGTCTTTTGGATGACTTTTGGATAAAAATTGGACAAGTGGTCTGTTTTTGTCCTAAAGTTATCCAAGCAAACTTGTCCAAATGTCTGTTTTTGGCAAGATTCTCAGATAAGTTGGTTTGAATAACTTTGAGACAAGAAACAGACATTTTTGTGCTCACTGGGATGCCACAAAGCATGACCCCACAAGGAGAGTAAGAGAAAAAATAAGGAGATATGTGTGAGCACATTTTTTCAGGTTTCTCAGTGCTCTCCTAAGAAATTCAATGAAATCTGCATATTCAACCTTTTTTATGCAAAGATTAATTGAAGAATAAGATTTCTAGACAATGTGCAATCAGGGGAGCTGTACTCAGACGGCATATGCAGGAGTATCATTTGGTTGGAATGATATTTCATGATGTAAATGTTTAAACAGTACCAAAACTAACTGTTTTAAATGTACCACTTTTTGGCATCTGTAAGGGATTTTAATGAATAAATGACCAGAAGGCTTTATTTTCCACTTTTCAGAGTTCACAAGGTTCAATCAGCATTCCCACATCCAAACCTGCTCCTCACCCAACCAAAATCCATTCAAATGCATTCAATCACTTCAGAATGGGAAACATAGAAATAAGCTGTATATGGATACCAAAATAAAAGAAAATACATTCCACAATTTACAATTGCACATCTAATGTGTATGCTGTACACCCGCTTCTTTCCCTGACAATGAAAACAAAATATCAGTAACAAGTATTGCAGCATGAGCCAGAATTATAGCAATTGCAGCAGTTACTGAACCCAATTTAGAGCACAAGGTCTTCAGTGTTAGGGACAGAGGGCGCTAGCCCTCCCTTCCAACACACCAGAAAAAACCTCCAACGGGGAATTCCACGCTGGAATTCTCCGATTGCACAATTGACTCCCCTCCTCCATTTTCGAGCCCAATATTTTCTCAGTCCCGTTCTTCCTTTCAAATTGTTCACATCACTTCCCTGGTATTTTGTCAGTGCATTTATTATTTGCTATTTTCGAAATACATTTGTTCTTTACTCTTTGGAGTCCTTACCGAAGGGCTCCCTGCCATGTTCCCCGGCGGACCAAGTGTTTCATTCATCAGAATTCATATTTTAATCATGTTTTCATTTTTATTTGTGGCCTATGCGCCACATCCTGCATTCCATTATTTGCACCCATGTCTTCATTCCATGGGATTGTTGTGTGGAACAAATTTCTACGTACAAACAGTAACTAATTTCAAAGGTAGGTACTATGTTTTTTGTCAGTCAGCGTGAACCCTAGTCCTTAAAATCTGACTCGGACGGAACCTTTTAAAGATGGACCTCTTAGAAAATTTTTAACTTCAAAAAAGTTTTTAAAACTAGAATTGGCAAGTTTATTACAATGAGAATGTCTCAATGCATACTCAATGGGCTTACTGCTGGGACTTGCAAAGAAGTTATTGTATTTACTCCAGTACCATGCACACATTTTTTCTCAAATTTCAGAAGAAAAAAAGGGGTCCACGTCATAAGTGGGTACAACTTTTTCAATAAGTTTTAGGAAGTTATGTGTGCATTATACTTGATTATAAAGGAAATATTTCAAACAAATGTAACAAGAAAGCTTTTTTTTTACTGAAAAAGTTGAAAATTGATCAGATTTTTCATGTCTAAATGTTCAATTCATGTCTAAAAGTCAAATTTTTTGAATTTATCTTCGAAATTGTGTGGTTTTAGATTCACTAGAAATTGTGGTGCGCGTCTTACTCGGGTATAAGATTTTAGCCAAATTTCCAACTGAAAAACCCCTGTGCGCGCCTAACTCGGTACTCGAGTAAATACGGTAGTTATCCTGCACTGAATTTTTTCCTTCAACGAGATTTCACTGTATATTGACGCCAAGAAAAAAAAGAGCTCACCTTGTAGTCCTTCATGACCTTGCATGACAGTAGAGGACCGATGGTCATGAACATACATTGTAGTTCTTTGTCATTCATCGCCTGAGGCAGATAGTTAACGATGAGATTGGTCTTGCTTCCTTGACCGTTCAGAGACATATCCGGATGAGCATTCGGATCCATCCTTCATTCAACGGTTTCGGTCAAAAACAAAAAGGCAAACAGAAAACCTCACGTTCATGGCTATAAACAAAAACATGTTCATGGCTCAATGAAAAAAAAAACGGCAAAATACACCGTCGAAGCCCGTCGCAATCGTTCCAGGCTGGGAAGGAAGCTCATTAGCCTAGCTTGCACTATCACAAATCGACGACATCGCAAAATAAAACAAAATAAAACTCACGATATCAGCCAATATCAGCTTTCTCCTGAAATCAGGAATGCGTCCAAGCGGTGGTTATTCACCTTTCCAAAAGAAAAAGAAAAAAAATTTTCAACGCTAAAAAAAATAATACATCAAAAGCACACGCCACACACGATAACAAGCGTTATTAATTAAAATATTCAAGTCATGGAGGCTCTGGGTCACGGAAACAACCCTTAAGGGAAAAGAAAAAATTGCTGGAAATTGTTATCGGCGACATACTGGGCCTTAAAATGGTTTTCCAATGAGCCGACATGGGTGCTGATCATGTCAACAAGGGTTCATTTACCCAATCAGTTTTTCATTTCCTATCAAAAAACATTGTTATACAGTATTTCCATTGCTTTTCTCTTCCCTGCGCCAAAAAGAAATGGCCGAAAGGCCTCCATAAAATTCGAGTTACGTAAGCTTGAGGGGAAAGCCTTCAAGTCAGGGAAGTTTTTCAATCCATTGTTTGTACAGGAATTCACACTGGGACTGGGAAGAAAAATTTAAAATGGAAGATTCGAGTAATCGAAGTTCAACTGCGTATTCCTTCGGAACAAGAATAACAACGCGTTTCAATAAGCAATACAGTACTTGTCTCTTCAATAAGTTGGATCTCTGAAATTGTTTTTCGCATTTTTCAAATAGAAATTTTAGCAGAAATCTGAGTCATTATCTCGAATATACTTCGCATTCGACTAGTCAATGAGACAAAAACACGATCATTCGGAATGCAGACAGGACCATAATTTTCGAGTTGATTTCAGGGAAACTTGCTGTCTGTAGTTAAATGACATTATACGTCGTTCCGTAATCATACAAAATCCTCTCATGCCACGATTGTCTTCACGCGTATTCGGAACACCGTAAGATTTCTCACAAAAAGCAAATTCACGATAATGCATTCATTCCTGCGAAGTAACCAAAATACCGTATTAGACGTTTACACGAAATGTCGGCGAAGGATAAAATTACGAAACATTTCACCATCCAAAAATTGCTGATTTCCACCACATGTGACAATGAACACCATACACAAATAAATCATCGGAATTCCAAATCTTCACAACAGAACAATCGAATTGTCAAACTTTGCAATATGCATACCACAGTACGTCAGTGCCACCATTCACCACACGGAAACGAAACCTTAATATCACCAAAATTGGCTTAAGCCGTGGGATCGCTCTTCATAACCTGTATATCGGAGTTCACCATAAGCTGAACAAGCTCTGCAAACGTCGTTTTTGGCTCCCAACCCAATTTAACTTTAGCCTTACTGGCATCTCCGAGTAATTCATCGACTTCTGTAGGTCGATAGTATTTCGGATTTATCTTCACACGAGTAATGCCGGTCTTCTTACATTTGCCAACTTCTTCAGCCCCTTTCCCAAACCATTCTATTTCTATTCCGATCTGTGAGAACGCTAGTTCAACAAACTCTCTGACGGTGTGCGTCTCACCCGTGGCAATAACGTAATCGTCCGGTTCATCTTGTTGTAACATCATCCACATAGCTTCCACGTATTCTTTGGCGAAGCCCCAATCACGAGATGCGTCCAGATTACCGAGTTCGAAGGATTCCGCAAGGCCAAGACTAATTTTCGCCACAGATCTTGATACTTTTCGAGTCACAAAATTATCTCCCCGCCGCGGAGACTCATGGTTGAACAGAATACCATTACAAGCGAACATCCCATAGGACTCACGGTAGTTCACAGTTATCCAGTAAGCATAAACTTTAGCAACCCCATATGGTGAACGAGGATAAAAAGGAGTCGTTTCCTTTTGGGGAATCTCTTGAACCTTTCCGAACATTTCTGATGTTGCTGCCTAAGAAAGAAAGATTATTGTGAAAAGTAATGCGATGGCTCAAGACCAACAGGAAATTGCGCACCTCATAAAATTTGACTGTTTTTTCCAAGCCGCACGTTTTGATCGCATCTAGCAACCTCAGAGTACCCAGAGCATCGACATCGGCTGTGTACTCACTAACCAGTTTGCTATAAAACTGTACTGAAACACGAGGCTCTAACATATGAAGTAGGCCGAAGCACGTACTATAATAAAAGTGATCTGTGCTACTTAGACAGTCTAGAGGTATTACGTTCACGTAGTAAGGCTCCTCATGAGTCTTCGAGTCCTTGTACAAATGCTTTATTCTTCCAGTGTTGAATGAACTTGAGCGCCGTACTATCCCATGCACTTCATAACCTTTACCCAAGAGAAATTCCGCGAGATACGAACCATCTTGGCCGGTAATTCCTGTTATCAACGCCACTTTTCGGTTCGAGCCCATGTCTAACAGGACAATGCCTTGAAGAACCTGCTCGCGAAACGAATGGAAGTTAGTTCACCATGCAAAAAAACAAACAAATGTGCTCCAAAGAGCCCACGTACCCTATCACCAATCCACACGACAGAAAACTGACACGAGAAGTTAAGCTGTTTCAGCGTAAGCGTCGAACTAGCACACGATGACGTGACTGAAACACAACGCTCACCACCACCACACAGACAGACAGAATCTCTATTCGAGCGTCAGCTCCAGGGCTCACATCGGAGTATTGCACAGGAAGAACACGCGACGTACGTCGTAAGAACACATTCAATGAACACATGAGCGGGCACCGAAATTTCAGTTATGGTCCTTGGTGACATCTGGGTTCACCGCTCTTCCACCGCCACTTCATTTAACTTCGTCTGCTTATTCGCCATGGGTCACCTGCTGGATCGACCCTGGTTGAGTATTTCAATGCACGCTTATTGATGCTGTTACAATAATTATATGTGTTAATACTGTATATTATTTAGCCGATTTCCGCTTGTTAGGGCATGTAAAGAACATGTGTTGATGGTATAAGAAAGTTTGGCAACATTATTTTAGAAAACTGTCATTCAATTTAAATCTATCATTCCGTCAGCAATGCATGCTCAGACGCGCGATTTGCTTACAGGAGTAAAAGTAAAACACACAATTTCAAGCATACTGTGTATTATTTAGTATATTTTGACATTCAGACATTTGCATGGTTGCACTACCTATTCAAAGATATAGGTAAAACGTTTGAGAATTCGTAAAGAACAACATGCACACCAAAACACAAAACATCAAGGATGAATAAGTACAGTAATTTTTGGGAAGGAGGAGGCTCTCCTCCTGAATCACATGAGTTCTGGCTGGGCCCTTCCCTGATCCTGGATGTAACCCAGGGACATGTAATAACATAAATGATTGGGCTTCACATTCTTTTCTTAGAAAAAGTCCTGCAGCCATCAACTTTGGAATTAAATTGGATTATAATATTACCTTCCTCCAAGAAATGTCCTAAAACCTTTAAAATCGGGAATCTGCATAAATACTCGCGGTTTATATGAACTTGAAGCCGACAATATACGGTACTATGCGAAGGCTGGGGAGAGAAAACATGGACTTGCCCCTTGAGTCGTTGTATCACACGACTTTGAATTGTCCATCGAGTGGTCCATTACCGATAAGCAACTGTGACGCTGAATGCTATGACGTTGAAACAGATGTAACCAGGTGTCGCTAGGGGTTTCGGGGTATGCCCGCTTCATGCACAACCAACTTGAACTCCGTGAAGGTGGCTGCCGAACACGCCTTTGCTCAGTTGCGTCGCCATTTGCAGTAAAAAGTCGATATCCACAGCTAGCACAAGCTAGAAGAGCTAAGAGCCATAGAGTATCACTAGGGTAAAATAGTAAATTGATCCTATACTCATGTACGGTACTTGGCATAACATGCGTTTCTTCAACTATATTCAGACCCATGCATTTCAAGCTTCTTTTAGCAGTGAAATTCTTCATAAAAGTGCAGTAACAACATTTTTTAGTGCAATGGATACACTTCATTGAGTCACACTTCTTAGGATAAAAATACAGCGGTGGACTCTATATACCCAATCTTGTCTACAACAAATTTCTCTGTTGACAGAACTTGTAGAAAAAAATCGATGGTCCTATTTTTTTTCATGCCAAGTGATTTGCAAGCAAGCTCACAGTAAACATCAGTATCAGCACATCATTTGACAAAAAAAACACAATACAGTATCTGATGCAGCAGCAGCTATAGAAAGAAATTCATTGGCATGTTTTATGAGAAATGTTCAAGAAATTAACAGAAAATGCATTTACCTCTCCACTCATGTAAGCATAATATTTTAAACAAATTTTCACTATATCCTCCAGCATATGGATGACCTTCAAGTGGTGGGTTTAGATTTTAGTCATTTCTGCATGCTTGCCTGCATGTTTACTGTACTGGATGGAATCAACTACGATGACAAACAGCATAACCTCCCCTCATCATATGATGCAAACCAATATACAGTACTGCAAATGGAAGGTACAGCACTACTTTGTTTTTGTTCAGCATTTGCATGATGCCTTTCATCATTGATATGATACTCTATATTTCTAACAACTGACACTTGCATTTTTTATTTTATTTTATTTTCCTTGTCTGTTGATTTTTTTGTCTTTTTCATGTGTGTGTGTTTTTCCATAATCCAAGACCATATAAATGAATATAAGAGTAGAAAAAGGTTTATTCGAGATTTTTTTTACCAAATGCCAAGCGCTCCTGATGCTGTATTGCAACTGATTTTATATGCAGCAGTATACTCCCTATTTAATGTTTTTGTTTCTATAAAGAGTGTGCTATTTATTGAAACAGCTATAGTTGAATGATAAAATACTGAATGATCAAAGTAGCCTTGAACAATATTTCAAATAACTTTGAGAAGTAAATACAATGGCAATTATTATTTTAAACATCTGAGGTTTGATTATGTATATTTAAGACGTATAACATCCCAAAAATTCCAATCTTTCTAGAACTGGAGACTATATATGCAAATTCTTCAAGGCAAAATTAATAACTATAGTACAGCAGTTCTGTTCTGAACCACAGAATGGAAGATTATGAATAATTTACATGCTGGGGTTGCTTTTTGAACTTGAGTCATCATGCATATTTCAAACTCACAATGGGATGACTTGTGGTATTGCTGTCTATATACATATGGATGAACTCTGGATGCTCTGAAGTTGACAATAATGCAGAAAAAAATTAATTCACATTATTTAGTTAAAGTTACATACATGGAGCGTTGAGAACATCATCAACATTATTTATGAAGCACTGCACAATATATTCATGCATAAACTATGAAGGAAAGGTTTTTACTTTACTCAATATTTTAGTGAAATGCTTAGATTACTGTTTTCTTATGCCTTGAACACAGTGCAATTAAAAAATCAAACCTTTTCAAAATGAAACATGACCCTGTGTACAGCTATATTTAATATTGTCAATAAAACCCAACCCTGGAATAACTTGGGATTTGTATATACTGTATGCTCTTAGAAATCAGTTGCAGGTACATTGGAAAATTCCATGAAAACAAATCTCCTGTTGAAAATCTCAGTGATGCCTTTTTTTTCAGGAGTTTCCTCAGATAGGAAGCATACTTTGTAATATTGACAAGGAAAACCTATTATTGACACCAAAACATTTCAGCTTGACAAAGAAAGACACTATACAAAAATTTATGACATACTGTTCTTCTCAGAGTTTTTGTAACTTCCTCCTTTCAAAAATTTGGAAAGATCTCTTTTTTCAAAAATAAACCTTTTATCAAAAGGAATATTCATCCATTTCAGAAAATAACATGCAGATGGGAATGAATCACTGACTTCAGAAAGAATAAGTATTTCTTGTGAATAGAGTATTTTTAAATTAATTTTAAAGTAAGATTATAGTCCTTTCTACATTATTAGGGAATAAGTGATTTAAGCAGTTCAGACTGAATAAGAGAACAGTGTAAAATGTGTGCCTTCAATTCCATAGAAACGAATTTCAAATTATGACACTACCTCTTAATTGAAATTTTGTCAAATCACTTTACAACATCAGTGTATATGCCTGTTTTCCACAAAATGGCAGCTCTAAGTGTGTTACACATCATGTTCATGAGTCTCAAATCAAATATTCTACAGTATTATAACCATTTTTTCTCTGGTCATCCTTATTGGAAACTTTTTTGTTAAATGGTTCTTCTTTCACAACTAACTATATTATACATATATATTATATTATACATTAAACATTGTGGTTATAATGGCCCTTAAAAGGGGCAATCAACTTCTAAGGAAATCCAAAGTACTTTACAGAGTACATTATACCATCATATATATTGTACAGTACTTCAATTTTGAACTGATGCACTGATGCTGAAGAAATACAATTGGAGATTTTTGGGCATCTTCCCCAGCACAATTTATTGACTTTTCTCAGGATGAGGGAAAACATTAAATCGCATGAATAATACTTTCAGGTGGAAGAGTTCACTCAGGACAAATTGAAGCGCTTCATGACAGCAGTGTAGAGGTGTTGGAAGGCGTAAACAGTGACAGACAAGACCAAACCCATGGCAACAGCAAATACCAGGCTGACCATATTCCCATCAAGGAAAGAACATTGCTTCTTCTTGTTGTTGACCAGTTTTGAGAGATCAGACTCCTCACTTCCCAGCAGATCCTTCATTTCTTTGAGTCTCCTGCGCAACTCAGTCAGTTCCTCTGGATTAGTTGAATAGCCTGCAATGAAAAGCAAATTATAGAATTCAGTCATCAGCACTATATGCTTATAAACAAACTATAAATCAGACTGAATGTGAAAGATTTTAGGTATATATATAGGTGTATATATATCAGCCAACAGCACTAAAATACCCATGTGAAGCAAACAAAAAAGTTGCCACACATGCTTTCCCACATGGGCTTTATGTATCATAAATTGTATGCTTCAGAAATTAACACATTTTTATTGTGTAAAACTCAAAATCCTTGGCAATTACAATGGAAATAAATCCATGTGGTCCAGGGGCCTTACTTCTCTCAAATCAGGAGTAATGTAGAAGGTTATAAATGCAAAATCCTTGAATTTTTCACAAGATGCACAAATTCTACAAATGGAAAGTCACTGATTATCCACAAAGAAGTGGCCACATGATTTCCCACATTGGCATATTATTTGAGGGGTTCCTTCCCCAATTAAAACAATTTTTTTTCATACAAGACCCTAACATCCGCAGCAATTTCATGGGAAAAAATTATTTGTTCCAGGCTTAATCAAAAACTAGCTCATATACTGTTCTTGACACTCAAAATAGGTGCAATTTAGAAATTTATAAATGCAGAATCCTTGAATCTTTTTTTTACAAGATGCACAAAGCTTGGAGATGGAAAAATCTTTTTATCCAATTTTTCAAGGTTCAAAAAGTGATTTTCAGGAAATTTAAATAATTTATTGGATGAAAGGTTTTTGGGCCTGTTTATATAAAACTATGTTCGCCTTGTCTCAGCAAAAATTTCAAAATGATCACTCACTAAAATACATGTATATATGCATTTTTGGCCTGAACGTTTTATTATTAGGAGAAAATTAAATGTTCATCACTTTATGCTAATTACAGTTTTGTTTGGTGAATTTTTTGTTGTTGAGGTTTTTTCTTTTTACTTGTTTCTGTGGTACAGGTATAATTAATTATTGACAATTTTGACAAAGTTCCAAGTTCAGTCAATTCAAAAAATTCCTTGGATGTCAAGCAATTCAATGAATCCTGATCAGGGTATTTAATTCTATTGATTTCTAGCCTGCTTATTCCCAATAATTAACTCTGTTTTATTTTTCAAGTTGCTTCTGCTTGCCATTATTTCTAGTAACTCTGTAATGCTTATAAAGTGACTATAAACTGTGTTGTTTACAAACAGAGCACAAATCTGGCATCTTTTCTACCACATGAATAAGGTAGTAGACACATATATTTCCTGGTCTTAATGATAGGATTCAGATAGTTTAATTAAAATAATTACATAAATTAAAACCCTGAGTAGAGTGATTCAGTAACTACATTCATTTGGCATGATGCATATTGTTATTGATGAGTATGATGACCAGAAATTCTTTTAGTTGTAAGATTGAATAACAAATTTAAAATTCTGGAACAGCTGAATAAACCATTTTTGTCTTTAAAATAAGTCAGAAATTCTGGCAATCCCTTATATTCAGATCAGGGGGTTTCCACTTTTAAAGCTAGACTTCTCCAAGTCATTAATTGAGTGCAGGAATAATACTGCATAGTAAATCCTTGCAGGAGAAATATCTGGCCTCTTGTTGAAAATTTTCTGACTGCAACTAATACACATGCTGTTGGGCGCTTTTATTTCTGAAAAAAAATTCAGTTGGTGATATATTTCAGTAGTAAAATTTCTTATAAATTTAAATACAGTCATTGGTAAGATCAAAAATATATTCCATTGAAACATTTTTGTCAACTAGGGAACATTCTCAATATCAAAGAACATATTTAGACTGTGTCATATATTTGGGAGGAATTTATCTGCCTGTAAATGAATATATGTGAGGCAAATATGTGTGGAAGATTACATAACCTTCTGCTAAGTGTTGTGATTAGGTACTCTTTTAAAAGCATTTTTTCCTCAACAGAATTTGAACTGCTAGGATAAAAAAATTAAGTAGTGTTTATAAAGAAAATGAACAGATACAGTATTTTTCTTTTGAAATCCTATGTATTAAATAGTCTCTGACAGTGACACTGAAACTTGGTATAAATTGTCTTGAGGATTTGTATCCATAATTCATCCATGATGTTATTGTTCTTCCTACATCATTATACAGGTGGTGACCTGCAATTTGACCCTAATCCATTGCTGGACTAGGCTTGAATTTCAAAGTGGACAAATTGCATAGCAAGGTCAAATGTAATGTTTTCTAAATTGTATTTGACATTTTTGCCCATCTCTGTGGGTTAAATTGCTGGGACTAGGTTGAGTTGTGACACTTGTGAGTCAACCTTTCAGCAAATTCAACCATTGAATTGCAAGATGGTCAAATTGCAAGGTTCCACCTGTATATAGAAATATCTCACCTTTGTGGTCCACCCCAAGATCAATTAAATGACTAAAATATGGATATGCAGATAAGAAATGAACAAAATGCATGCTCACCTTGGGTTGTGCTGCCTGAGGAGTCTCCTTCCCATGATTCAAAGTTAAACTGTTCTCTTGGATCACTCATTACAAGTACTCTTATATTCCCAGAACCCTTCAAAAAATCCAGGAACACTCTTTGCAAATCAGCATTAAACTGTATTTGAAAAAAATTCTGCTTCAAGATTGATTCACACCTGAAATAAAATTTAAAAAGCATATACTGTACATACACTATTCCAGCACTGCAAGGACACTATATTTTTATTCAAAACCGAAAAAAAACCTGGCTCCACTTCTCACCTGCTGCCCACCATCACCATCACATGCAAAAAAAAAGCAGCACACAGATAAAAGCTTTCATCATGTTTTGTGTATTTTGGCACTGGGTTATTCTGGTTTGGAAGCTGTCTGTTCAGCTGAAGTTTCGATCTCTCACTGCTGGAGAGACCCAGAATTCCCTTCCTGTATATACATACTGTATATATGCTGGATACCATCAGCACATATATATATATATATAGAGAGAGAGAGGAAGCTGGTTCTGCGCTGTGTGTGTCTCTGCGCAAAAATATTGATTTCATGGAGGGTGGCTGCTGCACAGCATGCACTTCCCTCTATACACAGCTTGGCTGTGTGTGTGTGTGTTATATATATATAGAGAGAGAGATGCTCCCAGAGTGTAAAATCAGGATTTTTCAGTAGTATATTAATGTCTTTTTTAATATTGTAATGAATCCACAGCAAATTATGGTTATCATATTTTATAGGTGCAGTATGCATTAAAAGCTGAATAATAATTGTGAGTTGATTATTCTAAATTTATAAGAGAGCTTGCAAAATTTCATCAGTGAAGAAGAAAGCCATATACTGTAACACATCCTGTATTGTGCATCATAGGCAATTATGATGTTGATGTATTTATTGGGAATAATTTCATCAAGAAAAAAAAGTGGATATGCTCTTATATACACAGCAGAATTGGCTTCCTTGAGAATACCATGATGTAGGAGTTTTTAGTTTCATAAATGAGGCTCTTTCAAAAAATTTGGCAAGTATCTCAGATGGTCAAGCAGTTGATCTCTGCTGGATGATAAATTTGAGCACATCATTCTGAATTTAAAATTGTTCACAGACATTCATCAGTTAATAAGAATACTGTACTGTGAATATATAAAGGTACAGTATGATGTTCATGCATTTATTGGGAATACCAGGAAGAAAAAAGTGAAGATGATCTTACAGGATTGGGCTCCTTCAGAATACAAAGATTAATTTTGATTGCATGAAGCTCTTTCAAGAAGTTTGGCAAGGCACTCATCATAAATGACCAGCAAGCAGGCAACCTCTGCAATCCAGACATGTCTGATGAAATGGTCTATGCTATCAGTATGTAGAGTAGATTGAAATATCAGTGTCTAATTGGATTGCTGCCTTGTATAAAATACAAAGACCCAGTTCATCTGTTTTTCTTGCTAAAACAGCTGCAAACAAATTTAATAACTATACTTGAGGTTTCAAATTTGTTTTTCAAATATATAGCACTTTTTTACAGCTGATTTAATTGTTGTTTGATGCAAGATCAATATGTCATGACAAACATCAATGAAATTGTGTTGCTGAAAAATCATGCCAAGATGGATGAGATGCCAATTCTTCAAAAGTGCATTCTTATAGAAGCTTATGAATTTAAGCTACTGTTCATTCTCTAGAAGTATGCTTTTTAAAAATTGCTGAAGTTATTGCTGTTTCCTCTGATCATAGCGTTGGTAGTGCATTAACTTCTATATGTCACCAGCAGTTCTCATATTTTTGTAGTGATACTTCTGAAGTTCACATTTAAAAAAATTTACATAGTGTATAGCATTTTTTTTTGGTGAGCACTGAAATAATTCTTCAAGATTACCAAAGGTGGACTCTCCCTACAATAAAGTTCTTGGGATAAGAAAAAAAAATTGTAGAGATAACAGTATTCTGTTGAAGAGAACCCCTATCTATAAAATTGAAAAAACCCTATATATGGGACCAAAATATATTCATTATACAGAGAAAATTATTGCATACATGATTTTTTACCAGAGAGAGACCACCTGTACTTTCTAAAGATACAACATTTTTTATTCTGCTTTGAGACTTTGCTCATGTTGTTTTTATGAAACCTATCCTGATTTTCACATTCTGTGCATTCCCCCAGCAAATAATTTGGGCATCCCTGGACCCATCTGCTATCCATAGGAGATGGTTCTCCCAGATCCATCCAGCTGGATGGTCTTACAGGACAAATTGGGCTATAGTCATTCCAGCTATCCCCCCCCCCCCCCAGGTGGTGGGGTGGGATATGGGTCCTCACTCCTCACCATCCCAACATTCAGAGACAACTATTTAAAATATGTAGTTCACAAGCTTTTTAAAATTAATTTCACAAGAAAATCAAGATGATCCTAAATATACAGTATATGGAAACAATTCCCTTTTACAGTATTAAAAGGAGCTGTATATAGATATATAGATCTTTCTTCTGATTGACCCAATAAGTAAAAGAAAATTACCAAATTCCCCCAAGCACAGTGAGATCCCAAGATGTGGACATGATTGGTGAATCAAGAGTGTCCTGATGTCAGAATAATGTCCCCAAGTTGATTCTCATTTTCCCTTAGACTTCAATGCCAATTTATTTAATTGGCTATTCTTTTTTAAATTAAAAATAATTCTTCAAAATGTTTAATACAAATTGTCTCCCTCAACTTCAAGTTGTATAGAAAAAAACAGTGCAGAGCAAAAAGGCATAGAATCTGATCTTTTGGTATCAAAAGGAGATCAAAAAGCAAAGAAATGTTTTGCTAGAATAAGCAAATATGTTGGAAAAAAATTCTGAAAAAGAAGTACAAAATCAGCTTGCTTTTGATTATGAATTAGAGTAAATTTATCATGACAAATTCTTTTTCAATTCTTGTGAATACTGTATAAATAGTTTGATTTGTTCAAAAGCTATCAAAATTGAAATAAAATGTTAATTTTTTATTTTTTGGGAAATTTTCAGGAAAGTGTCCCCCAACTTGAGCCAATATGTCTGCTGGATTTAAGGCCTGATTCTTTTGGTTTTAAAGTGTCCCTATAAGTCAAATTGTCCATATATGTTGGGGTGTCCACATTTACTGGGGTCTCATCATCTTTACTGTACAGTATATATACTTATACAGTATATACATACTGTGATACAGCAGCAGCAGTATAGTAGCAGACACACAATATTTTTTTTCCTCTCTCTCTCAGGGTGGATGGACATCAAATGCAAACGCGACGTCAAACAAATACGCAGGAATGGACATCACAAAGTAGTAGCCAATGATCATTGTCCAGGACGCGAACGCCGTTGTCCACTGGGTCACATCCATGCTGGTGACGACGAAACCCCTGGGCCAGGTCACCGACACCTCTTTAGCACCGTTGCCCACATTGCAATAGTTCTCTGTGCAACACTCGGTGCACACGTGGATCTTGGTCCTTTGACCCATCACGACGCACCCGGGTTCACAGGCCTTGGCGCAGTACCTGCGCAGGCCCCAAAAGTGCATGTACTGGGACCCATTTCGCTCTATCCGAGTGTAACTGTAGCGTCGAACCTGTGCGGCAAGGAAAGAGAAATAAACAAATAATATGGTATGTGCTTATATATAACCTATTATTTGTAATTTTGTTATATTGGTGCTTGGAATTACACTGAGACCCCCACATGCGGACGCCTTGACCTGCAGACAATTTGACATAGGGACACTTATGTTCTCATAAAAAATTGATAAAAAAGGCAAAATATGAGGTCACTGACTTGACATAGGGACATTTTGTGATAAAAGTGCAAATACATTTCAGGCCAAATTAAAAGAAACGGATATTTCCAATCCTAAAATTGATGTGAGAAAAGTTCTTGGGCATTTCTCTCACCAAATTACCATACATTTAGCAAATTTAAAAAAATTGCCTCCAGTGTAGAGAGACTTCCTTCTCTCTTTTTCACTTGAATGTCAATTTTTTTTCAGAGAATGCAAATATTCATGTGTACTGTACAGAGGTATCAGTATTCAATTCTCCAATTATCCATATTGTGTTGAAATATATTGATTGGAATCAGTTTAAATTGGGAGACCATTTTCATTTTCATGGATTTATGGTGAGTATTTTGTGCATGAAGCAATTAAAAATTATATAATGTTTGTCTAAGGGAAAATGAGACTCTACTTGGGGACATTTCAATTTATGGACACTCTTGATGCACCAATTACATGTGCATCTCAGTGTCTCACTGTACTTTTCAACATAAGCTCATCCTGATGGGGTAATATAAAAACAGAGTAAAACATTTGGTAATAAGGAGACATTCAATGCGTTTGCATTCATTCTGATCAATTTCAACAGCTTAGGATAACAATATATGCAGTAAATTAAGGTGCATTATTGCAACTGCATCACAGAAAAAGTTTGTCATACTAAAAATTGTGTTGTATAGTGGTGAACCTTGATAACTCAAACCTCCCTAAGTCAAAAGGCTTTTTCCCTCAAACCTCCATAAGTCAAATTTTCTGTGCCCTGTTGGCTTTTATTTTCTTGACACATAAGAAAGAAATAAACTATAAAAACTGAAATTGATTTGTTTTAAAATGATTACATTTCAGGCCAAATTACAAGAAACAGATATTTCCAACCCTAAAATTTATGTAAGAAAAGTTCTTGGGCATTTCTCGAATCAATTTACCATCCATTTAGCAAATTAAAAAAATTGCCTCCAGCATAGATTGAGAGACTTCCTTCTCTCTTTTTCACTTGAATGTTAATTTTTTTTTCAGAGAATGCAAACATTTATGTGTTCTGTACAGAGGTATCAGTATTCAATTCTCCAAATATCCATATTGTGTTGAAATATATTGATTGGAATCAGTTTAAATTGGGAGACCATTTTCATTTTCATGGATTTATGGTGAGTATTTTGTACATGAAGCAATTAAAATTATATAATGTTTGTCTAATGGAAAATGAGACTCAACTTAGGGACATTTCAACTTATGGACACTCTAGATGCACCAATTACATGTGCATCTCAGTGTCTCACTGTACTCCTCACATAAGCTCATCCTGATGGGGTAATATAAAAACAGAGTAAAACATTTGGTAATAAGGAGACATTCAATGCGTTTGCATTCATTCTGATCAATTTCAACAACTTAGGATAAC